CTGGGGACCCTGCACCCGGGGACCGCGCTGTCCGGCGTGGAGAGCTTCACTGCCCGGATCTCCAACGGCTAGCGGCGCCGGGAGCGCGCGGCCGAGAGCGCGAAGGTAGGACCCCCGGCTCCCTTCCGCGCACCGACGGGGGGTTGTTGGTTCGGGCCGCCCCTCCGGGCCCTCGGCGACCTCGCGCCCCCGGTCGGGCCGCCCTGGATCTCTTGGACCGGACTGTGCCGGGCGACAGCTGGGGCGCCGCGCTCTGTGGCTCAGCGGGTCCGTCTATTTATGCAAAATCGCCCTATGCTGCAACCCTGACTTGGGTGGGGAGGAGAGGGTGCCGGGGAGAGTCGCCCTGTCTCGGCACTGGGGGCCTCCTTGACGTCTGACAAATTGAGAAAAAAACAAAACAACCAACCAAACCCATCAAAACTAAGCCTTTTTGAGGTGTAGAGAGTCTCAGGTCCGGGCGTTAAAAACAAAAACAAACAAGCAATAAAACAGAACAGTAATGTTGAAATGAAGCTCGTGCAGAACCGGTGAAGGTCTCCAAGAAATGCCTTTATTTGCTCACACTTGTTTGGTGTACTTTTTCATGGAAAGAAAGAAAGAAAGAAAAAGATAAACGTGTTTACACAAGAAACAAGTCAAAATTATCATTTCTTATTTTAACCTGTGTTTTGTATCATAATAGACATGCGGAATTTTTATTTTGTACTTGCTGCGTATTCTTTACAAGGAGCATTGTAAATTTTACTGGCAATTATTATTGTACTATTCTAATGTAAGATTTTTTTACACTTTTTTCAGAAATAAAATGCTTAATTTTCAAAGAAAGGCCACTTAATTGGCTGCATTGTCCCTTAGTTTCTTTTCTGTTAAGGGAGGGTGATGGTTCCTTATAGATAAGTCCAAACTCATTACAGAGTTCAAAGAAAGCTTAGCAAAACCACGAGAGCATGATGCCATAGTTTTTTCTTTAAACTTTCCACGTCAAAACCATCGTAGATCGGAACTTGTCTTTCAAAAACGGCAAATGAAAGAAATGACTAGATATTTCCAAGCCCTAAGCCTTGTCTACCTCAAAGATCAATGAGACACTTTAAAGTTGTAGTTACTCTAAAATATTTTAATAGGAGTGTGCAATTTTATTTTTGAAATTCTCAAGTTAATTTCCGCTCACTTTTCAGCAAAGTATTGTACAAAAACTATGGTCAAAGATGATGTTAAACTGTAACCAAAGCAATACAGGCAAAGGCAGTTTCTGGCCGAAAATTTTAACAGAAAAAAAAAAAAAAGAGTGGGTTATCTGTTTAAAGGTGTTAAAATCCCTGGAGAAACAAATGTTTGCGTGTATATCCTGAATTGTATGTGGGAAATTCTAGTATTAAGAAAAGTGTGAGTCCAGGGGTTGCACAAATGAGTTCTGAGCTCAAAAGCAAATTTTAGCTTAAATGAGTAACATAAGAGTAGGGAAAGGTGTAACCTTTAGCAGATCATGGGGCTCAAAGATTTAATGGTGAAGGCGCCGCCGCCAGTGTTTATTGAGCTGAATAAGCCACTTGGATGGTTTCGGGGATCCCTTTTCGAATTTTAAGGCTTTTATTGCTGATCATATTCAACTTGTAGCTCCTTCCCAAAGCCTCGAGTACAGATGGTCTGGGAGCCCTGCTCATAGCTGGTCCATAGGCAACACATCATTTGAATGCTCTGGCTCAGCAGGTTGCAGTGGAGATGGAGTACATTTATTCGGTGTCTTTAAAATGTGGGTAAGTGTATACACCACGGTATCAGAAGACCCACAGACTGAGCCTGTCCAGTTCGTGACACCAAGCTATATAGGCCGGTACTGTGCAAGGCTGGCCACACTTGATGCCTTCCTTGTCCCTTCTGAGGCATCTGAAGAAGCAGAGACTCAGATTCTCAAGATGAAGCCGCCCTAAGAGATCTTCGAAGGAAGATAAATACAGGGAAGAGTAAAAACATCCACATCTGGAGAGTACCACCGAATAGGTAGTCAATCGTAAATGAAGGAAGATCTTGTAGTCAAAGGCTTTAAAAGAGAGCAGGCCGCGGCCCCCAGACCATCTGCATCCCGGAGGCCCTGTGCAGGCAGGATCCAAAGGCGTGCATACATAGAGCAGCTCGAGTGGACTCGAGAAATGCACAAACAGACTTCTAGATTAGGAAGTTGTTGTGAAGAGAGCCGAGGACACAACTGTCTGATTCCTGCTCTCGGGGTGAGTGTGTAGCTGCCCGGAAAGCAGGAATCACAGCCATAACCTTTCTTAAGACTCGAAAAGGGCCGAGAGCTCCGCCCGCCCCCAGACTGTCAGTGCTCACGGCTCGGGGAGCCCCAGTGCTGGCCCTCAGTCCCTGTGCTGGCTTCCCACGTCCACGCAGGCAGCAGGCCGCAAACTTGCTTTTGATCAGGCCGGGTGCAGGGAGGGTCGCATCCCGCCGGGTTCAGCCTCCTTTCCGAGCCTTTGCAGTGAGCTTTCCTTGCTCAGCCGACCTGCTCGGGATAGTAATGGGCCTCAAGGTATGGGCTCGGCGGCGTAGTGCCTGCGCGAGGTACAGGCCTAGCAGTGGGCTGTGGGCCTTGGGCGGGTGGGCCAGGAGAGTGGGGCGCGCCCGGCCAGGCTGTGCTAGCAAGCAGGTGTT